TAAGTTTAAGGTGGTTTGTTAAGCAGAACATACCAGTAATCATAATGCAAATTAAAACTATTTTATTTTAAATAATTTAGATAGTAGGCTCTACAAAACTGTTAACTGACTTAAGAAGTGACAATAGTGATGACAAAGTCAAAGTCCTAAAATATGCACGTTACATACTTAAAATTCTTTCACGAAATAACTGGGAGAAAAGCAGTATTTTCTAAGTTAATATTATGTAACACAATGAGGTTTAATTATGTGTATAATTACCAAATGATTAATAGAAATTTTTCATCCCTATGTCTAAGAGATGTATTCTAGATGGCAAAACTTTTCGTTTTTAGATTGTTCACTGGGAAAATGGGTGAGAATCCTGTATTTGGAATCACCTTACATTCAAACATTTGCAACATATGTTCACTCTTCACCAGTCTCTGTTAAACTAAAATACATATACAATTTATATCTTCCTTTCAGTTGTCAAAGTTTCCCTGCAACCACTCAATTTTAAAGATAATAATCTTAAAATATGGCTGTAAATTGTTTGCAAAAACATATACCTTTCAGCAATGGAGATAAAGCAAAAATTAGTTTAGTCCATGTTATTCATTCAAAATTTTATGTAATTCAATTCAAAAAGATTCTATGTTTTTCTTTAATAAACTACAAAATTCTTGAGAATGCTAAGGTGTTTTTAGTTAAGATCATCTCAATTTTATATGTTGGCATCCCCAAAAAAGACTTTAGGCTTTGGTTTCAACATTTTCATGAAGATTATTCCTTCACTATGTTGGAAGGACCCAAATAATACTCAGTGATACAAGCAATAGACCACATAACCAGAAATTTTTAAGTAGTTCTGAAGTCAAAACAAAACAAAAAAACTTTTCAACTTATCAGTTCTTTTAAAAATTGAGCTGCATTGATATGACAGATACAATTATTAAAACATAAACTCTTGTTGATACTCCATAGGCAGCCACAAAAACTTGTCATGGTTAATACTCATTAAATATTTCCAAGTAACTTTACAAATTATTCCTTTATTTCTAGCAAATTATTATTATTCTTAAAAACCTATGATTTCAGTGAACTAGGGGGCAGTTCAGAAACAGGTAATGAAAGATTTAAGAGGAGGAGCTTTGGAGTTAGGTAAACCTGCATTTAAAATCCTGATTGCACCATTTAAAAACCAAATGATGTCTCTAAGCCTTACTTTCCTCCTTGGTAAATAGAGACAGTTGTAGTATCCTCATCTAGAGGGTTATTACCGGAGAGACTGCATAACTAATAACAATTCTCCCCCTTTTCCTTACTAAGAAATCCTTGATTTTATTGTTGGCAACAATGGGCTCAATTAATTAAAGGACCACAGGCAGGCCAAGTGGCTCAGTTGGTTAAGAGTAAGCTTAAGAGCACAAGCTCTGAGCAACAGGGCCACCAGTTCAATTCCCACATGGGCCAGTGACAGTGCGCCGAGCTGAGCTGCTGCTGAACTGCAAACAGGTGGCCGGCTCAGCTGGTGAGAGCCCGTGCTCCTAACAACAAGACTGCCTGTTCCATGGTGGGCTCCGCCTGCCCGCAACTAAGACTGAACTCGGCACCTTGAGCTGAGCTGCCGCCCGGATGGCTCAGTGGATAGTGTGCGCTCTTAACAAGGCTGCTGGTTCAGCTCCTGCATGGGATGGTGGCTACGCCCACCCGCAATTAAGACTGAAAACAGCACCTTGAGCTTAGAGACCACGAGCTGCCGACGGGAAGCCAGATGGCAAGTGGAGCCCTCCACAATCTAAGACTGAAGAACAACACCTTTGCTGGTCTCCCTCCCCAATTCCCCAACGCTGTTTCACTCCCCCAATTCCCCAATTAAAAAAAAAAAATTAAAGGACTACAATTTCCAGTTTTCTTTGAAGTTAGAATAGCTTGTAAGATGTAAATCAAAGTACAAAGGTAGAGTTTCTAGGTAAGTTCTTTAAAAAGCTGATTCTGTTGAGGAGTATGCCTTTTTGTCCTCCTCCCTATTCCACAGCAGCCATCTTAGAACACCACGGGATGGAAGTCATTTGCTAATGATGTGATATAGAAAGCCAGGAGGCCCCTGGGTTCCTCATAACGAAACCATCTTATCATCTGGGCTTCTTTTACGTGAAACATAAATTTCTATTGTGTTTCCATTATACATAGGTGAACCTAATCTACTAGTTAATACAATTTATTATTAGGGTTTTTAAATGATAATACATGTAAAATTTTCTACAAATAAAACTGGTACATTGCAAGTAATCAAAATAATGTGAATAATTTTTTGAATCCAAATAACTGTACTTTAGCAAGTCAGCAATGCTCTTATTTTTCCCTTGAAGTTTCAAGTTTGTCATGTTCAATGAACTTTATCAGTAAGAAAATTAACCATTGGTAAATGACTAAGTGGTTATTTTAGAACCATTTATTTATTAGACCTTGATTTAAGAAAGCAACTGTCTGAATTTTTTTTTCTTTAATTTCTCTATTCTATCTGAACTTCTTTCAAACTTTACATAAACTGTCAATGGTTAAGGGAACATGAATTAGGATAATCCACAATATCGGTCACTTCCTCTATCACCATGTTATCCTAGAAAATCCACAGCACAAATTCCCCTGACAAATGATGAACTAGAAGTTGGACGACCCTATTTTCTCTTTTGACTTGCATGAAATGCTGAAGGCTTTTTTGTTTTAAATCCCTTTCACTGAAAACACTACATCTTTGGAAAGTCAGCTCAGCTTTTTCATGTTTGAACCAAATTCCCCAAATTTCTCATTGATGGGGTTTTTGTCAATTTATGTGTGCCAACAATTAGCAGATAGTATACTTTGCTGAAAGCTTCAGAAAAGCTATACCCTAGGAGGGCTGAATTTGATCTACAAAACAAATGTTTGAAGCCCCATGTCCTGATGGCCTTGGGCAATGAATACATGGTAGGTCTAGTTTTATACCAGACATTTTGAGACACTTTGCCTGAGAAACAGTGAATCTCCATTTTTCTGGATATAGACCTCAAGACAAAATGGTAGGCCTTGAATGACCATCTATCTCTGGAATCAGATGCTTCCTGAATACCATCTATACAGCAGTCTGCCTTTATATCTCCTCAATAGGCATCTATATTGCTGAATTGAATCACTTCATGGAGAGAGGCCAGTTTGCCCTTCCAAGCTAGTCAATTCTTTGCCTCCAGAGCCTTCAACACCCCCTTAATGATAAACTACCAGAAAGGGGGAAATACAGGGTAATCTTCACAGCACTATTTGCACTCAACATTCGGTATAAAATCACCTGCTGTAAACCTCCAGCCTAAAAATGTTTGTGGGGCTGTTACACCAGGTATCAGAAACATAAACCCCAAATGTTGGGTTAGAGACCCAAGTGCAGCAGCTTGGTTAGAGTCCTGCTACCACTTTTGGATAGTTGTTACTGCACCATCTTTAATAAACAAAGCATCAGATTAAAACCTTCATTTGAAAGCTATTTGATTAATTTCTATTACTACACACACTTGAGCGAAGGCATGTCCAGAAGCAGGTAGTCAAAAATTATTTGGTGAAAGTTAGTAATAATGGTTGAGGAATACCTCCTAACAGCCATGTTTTACCTTCTGACCCTATTTGCCCTAACCACAGATGACTGGTTCAAAGATAAACATCAGATCCAAGCTGGCACAATCATATTTTTCCTAGGAACTTGAAATTTAAAATGGATACACAGAAAGAATGCAAGTCATTGGAACATTAACTGCTTTCTGCAGCACTAGATAGAGCAGGCCCATGATTTCCTTTCAGAGAGTTTCCAAAGAATTTGTTCTATACCTCCTCCCTAAATTCTGCAAAATACCCCTATATTCTTCTAAAGTTTCTTCTGGATAAGAAAGCTAGAGTCTAATTTTGTTGTTTGTATGTAAGAAAAAGGACAATTAAATCCATTAAAGGTCAGGAGACCTAGTAACTTCTCTAGGTAGTTTAAAAACTGTTATCACTCAAAAATATTAACTAATTCCAAAGAGAAAGATGGTACTCAAATATCCTATTGTGGAAGTAAACTTAAAAGACAAAACAGAACAAAAGAAACGCACATTTCCCCCAACTTAGGAATTCTAGATGACAAAATTTACCCTTCATAAACAAGCGCATGAACATCCTTTGATGATTCATCAATTCTATTCTTAGAATTTAAACTACAGAAACACTTCAACAAGTAGACAAAGGGGTATATAGGAACACATACTCAACACTGCTTGTAACAGTGAAAAATTAAAAATAATATACACATGTGTAAAAGAGGAAGCTGGTTATAGTACGGCCATACAATAACATACTGAGTAGCCATTACAAAAGAGGCAATACGCCCAAATCCACAGACTCAGAAAGATATCTAGGCAGTTGAATGAAAAAAGCAAGAACAGTATTCATATAATCCCTACACACATACATAAACTTCTCCCACCATATACAGATATATATATATATATACAGTCATAGAAAAAAAGTCTGGAAAGATATATATTAGATTTTTAAAACTGGTCATCTTTGGAGAATGGTAAAGACAAAGAATTTTCAGCTTTACCCATTATTGTATTATAAAATTGAATGTATTACTTTTATAATCATAAGAAACAGAGGTTTGTTGTTTTTTTTAAAGAAAATCATGTACTATGGAAAGAAAATTAAGACTCTATAAACAAAGTAGAAACCTTTAAGTGGTTAAGGATAAACTTCTATATACTTCATACATACACGAAGTGTGGCTATATTTCAACATTAATAACTGTGAGAATAAAATATTTACTTGAAAAAAAGAGTAAGACTTATAATTCAGATTAACTTGCTGAAAATGCTAAGTGTGTGATGAGATCTAAACTAAATCAAATTGGATCATCACATTAACCAGCCCTGTTATAAATGCCCTACCTAGATTTATATTTATTATCTATCTAAAGACATTATTGGTTATTTTCAAAAATGGTACTTACAGTTCTCTACAATTTCATCAAACACTGCACCAGTTTTCTGCTCAAACTGAAAAAGCAAAGAAGAAAAATAACACTATTATCATATTCTTATAGCATACTTTTTGATATCCCTCCCGATTCCCCCAAGAGTTATAATTTTCAACCACAAGTATACAAATACTCGACATCAACAAAAACACCGCCAAATAGAATAAAATTTATAATAAATAAGTTCTCAGGCCAAAGCCCACAAACCAAAAATGAAGACTTTTCTATAAAAACCCTTATTTTAAAAAATCACTTTTATTATGTCACTATTAGAGTATGATATAAATTTGTAATATTAATAAACAAAGCCAATTAAGTGTTCTCAATAAACATTTATTGAGAACTTACTAACACTTACTGAGAATTATGCAAAACTCAAATCAAAACTGAACAGGACAATCAGCATCAACCGGTTTTGCTGAGGTTAAAGCCAGAAATCTGCTTCTCTTTATGAAAGTGAGCCACATTACAGGGATGTTGCTATTTTAATGTTAGGTAGGGCCTAAGACAGAAGTAAAGCCAAGCGTGAGATAATTTCAGACCTTTAAAAGAGACACAGGGGTGGGGGGGCATTAAAAGTAAAACAGAGGCAACTCTACCCAGGAGCTAAAGACACTAGCACACTCCATTCCTGGTCTTTAAAGGTCTCCTGGCTTCAGCAAGTGTGAGAATTCCAGCTTCCTGCTTCCTTGCCTACTACCACCTGGCACTGATGCAAGACACAAGAAAGGGTGCTTCTTGATAAACCTTGCCTACTATGACCCAGTGTATCTCCCCATTCAAGGGAGAAACATTTTTAAGGGAAAAAGAACAATCTAGCTACTAGCTACCTACACATCTCAGAGGAAACACAATTGGTAGCTATAGTAATCAACAGTATCTGATATTCATAAATGTGAACAGACAACCAAGGATCCCAGGCTTTTGAAAGAATTACTGTGAAAGATCAAGTTCAAAGTGAACAAAGCGAACAACCACGTCAGGAAAAAAACAACTAATGTACAGAAAAGAAACTTCTAAAAAGTATTTTAAGTGGTATCTGATATGTCTGAGAGGTTAAAGATGCACATAACTAAAACACGGATGGCCATGAAAAGGAGACATGATAGAATACTTGGAAACAAATAAATGACTGCAAAAATAAAAATTTTATTGGGCAGGCGACTATCGAAGTTCTCAATCAGTTTAAAAAAAAAATAATCAAACAGAAAGTCAAAGTGTTGAAAAAGATATGTATATGACAAAATGAAAGACTAAACCAATAGGTATAACAACAATTTCAGAGGCATCCCCAAAAGAGAGAACAATGGAGAGGTAAAATATACAAGAAATTTCCCTGAACTAAAAATATGAATATTTGAGATTGAATGGGCCCACCAAATACCAAAGAGGAAATGAGAGGGGAAACAAGATGCAGCCAGGTGAAATTGAAGAATTCCAAAAGAAAACAAGAGAAATAAAGAAAACTAGAGTGCAGGTGATTCAAAACCACATCTAAAGTAACTGAATTCAACTATATAAACACTGAAAAGGGAAGGAAACAAATAGTAAAGGCCTCTCTAGCTACAATTCCATTTAATGAGTTATGCTCCAGAAAGAAAGGGAAATGGGAGATGAGGCTCTGCACGCCAAATAATGACAGCACTTTTCTACACTAGAGAGGGATCCAAGTGTTTAAAGATAATGCACTTTATGTACAATACTGCCTCTAGACACTTTACATGGTGCTCAACCAAAGAAACTACAATCATACTCAATGTTGTAAGAAAAAATGGTATTTATGATATTACTAAGGGTGGTATGTCTATACTTATTCGTGACTTAAAGGATTTTCTAAGGTAATCCTGGACTATGTATCATTTTGTCTTGTGAGCTGATTATGAAACCTAATTCCTAAGACATAACTGTGTTCTATAAGAAACAGGAACCAGACTGATATCACACTTCTCTGCAAGATGGAGCACAAAAGATCGATGACTTCCACATTCTAAAAGGAAAAGAATATCTGGAATTTAGACTATTCAAATTTTACTATGATAATATTTAACAAAATGAAAATGAAATGTATTAATTAAAACTATACTGAATACAAGAAATATTAGCAACGTGAATATGACTCAACAGAAATGAAGAAACCTAGATGGGAAGAACATCAGGCGCTGACAATTGAGCAGACACGCTTCCAAATGGCAAAAATTCCAGTATTAAATTTCCTCCTCTGTGGTTTAAAACCAAACCCTGTTTTCCTACCTCTCCCACCCTCCCTATCAAATAGAAAACAAAATACAAAGACTACACAATATTGCCTCTTGATGCCAAACCATTTGTATGTTTGTTTACAAATAGACATAATATCATCCAGTAAGTCCCTTTTGCTGACACTGGATACACATTTCAAAACCTTTGGGACAAAATAGATTAGTGGCTGCTGACCATTGTGGAGTGGTGAAGAAGAAAGAGAGAATGACTGCAAATGGGTACAGGGTTTCATTTTTGGGTGATGAAAATGTTCTAAAATTGACTGTAGTTGCACAACTGTGAAAATATAAAAACTATTGAATTGCATACTTTAAATGAGTGAATTATATGGCATATGAATTATATCTCTATAAAGCTGTTTAAAAATACACTGAGAAAAATACCCTTGAGTTGATCCTTGAACAAGGGTTTGAACTACGCAGGTCCACATATATGGATTTTTTTCAATAAATACTGTAAATGTTATTTTATCTTATGATTTTGTTAGTAACTTCTTTTCTCTAGCTTATTTTAGTCTAAAAACGGTGTATAATACATATAATATATAAAATATGAGTTAATCGAATGTTTATGTTATCGGTAAGGCTTCTGGTTTAGTTAAGATTTGGGGGAGTCAAAAGTTATATGCAGAATTTCAACTGTGTGTGTTGAGGGGGGGGTCAGTGTCCCTAACACCCGCATTAAAGGTCAAGTATAGTTTAAAGTAGGTCAAGTATTACAGGGAATTTAATGGCGAATGAAAGTAAAGCCTGGAAATTGGGTAAGCTTCAGGCACATTTTTATCAGTGTTCTAGCTTCCCTTCTTTATGCATCTCTCAACTCTTCCCACTAAGTTTTAGCTTCATCCATACATCGCACCATCTACAAAAAAACAGAGAGAGACTACAGATGTCCCACAATTCCTAGCAATGTTCCTGAGCATTTAATGGACTGGCCCACCTCATAACCAGTCGATGACTGACTAGGCTTTATTTCCCAAACCAACTATTCTGCCAGGGAGGATGGAATTACCTTGTTTAGCTTAGACAATGAAGTCATGAAGTCTCCTCAGCCCACTCAGATCATCTGTCTGCTAAACAATGTGAAAAAGGAATAACAAATGTTGGGGAATCCAATCAATGTCCACTCCAGTGAACTTATGAACGCATTTTTTCCCTGGCTGGTGACATGTCTAAGTGGCTAAAAACAGCAAAACGTAAGCTGAGGAATTTCTTGGGTTTCTTTTTTCCTAAGTCCATACCCATTCCTCTAATGGTACATTTAGCTAAATCCTCAGTATACAGTCGTATAGACAAGCTACTTGAATACAAGGAAACTCTTGTCAACACAAAACAGATCAGAGGTTATTTAGCCTTTGTAGTGTCAAAAAGCACCGCAAGTAAGATACCTCAAGGTCTATTTTACAGTAGCCTCTGGTAAAGAAGACTTAGAATGCCAAAAAAAATTTAAACCTGGGGTGGTCCAACTCATGTCCTGGCCATTGCTCCATCCAATCCAGTCCCACTTCAGTGGAGGGGGGGGGCAGGGTGGAGAAGCCCAGGATTAACAGTACACAAAAATACAGGCCACCATTTTTTAAAATCCATAATTATATTAAAATTCCAAAAATGAGAGCAGACACAGTAAGTCCATCTCCCCGTTTCCATCTTCCTTCTCTTATGATATATATCATGTCATGTTATTAGAGTGTAAGCTAATTAAGAGTAGTTCTTTGATGTGTCAAAGTGCCTAGAATGGTGTCTGACATATTGTACACAATCAATAAACATTTATTGTTGAATGATAGGTACATATCTCAGGCACCAAATATTCAAACAAAAGAAACCATGAAAACAGACATACAGTATTTTCCATTCTCCTTCTGCTACCCCCTACCCTCCCTTGTTCTGCATGCAGCCTCAGCTGTCCACATACAACCCTCCTGCAGGCACCTTTAACTCCCAGGCAAAACAGTTCATGCCAACATGCCAGCCTGACTCCCTAGTGTATACCGGGGGTGTCAAACAAACATACACAAGTGGACACTTTGGTCAACATTGCTCAAGCAGTAGTTCGCCGTGATCAGAAGTGTCTGGACACTGATGGTAACCATTTGGAGCATCTCTTGTAATTGCAGAAGTCAAACGTGACTTGTATTCATCTTTTGTTATTGGCATATACTGAGTATTGCAATTTTAATAGTTTTTTCCTTTCTTAAAATGTGTATACACTTTTTTAGAAACCTCTGTATAATTTAATCACTTTAGCTCTATGGACAAAACCACTGGTAGGAGGTAGGCAGGCAGACAGACAGACAGACAAGATCTTTATTCAAAAGCTATTCCCGAATAGTCTTTGGGTTGCCTGTGTAAGGTCCCCCAGACCTTTTCAAACACTATTGTGGAATGAAGGTCCAGAATGGACATACAAGATGCACAGTGCCATCATAGACCAGGAATCCAATAAAGGTCATGCTTTTCTAGACATGCCGTGTATTATATCTGTCCAATGAGTTATGGTATCAGATTTGGAACACTTTACTTAAAATTAGTTTAAATGAGCCGTCCAGAAGCCGGCGACTGATCTGCCTCTCCAGGGAAGAGTGCAATGATGGTGCCAACTTGGGCAAGTGAAGCAACGTCCTCCACAACTAGATTGAAGAACAAAACGACAGCAACTTGTCTGTTCTCCTTCCCCAATCCCCCCGCACTGTTCCCATCCCCCCAATTCCCCAATAAAAATCTTTAAAAAATAAAAAATAAAATAAAATAATACAATTAG